CCAATCCAAAGAACATAACTCATAAATACCTCTTTTAACTTGTTATAGAGAGAAAGAAGGAGAGAGAGAGGGAGAGCGGTGGAAGATGTCACGGCAAAATCTACTATCAATTTGAAAAAAACTACACTTTTTCAACCCCTAAAATGAACATTTTTTATGCAAAGAAAACAAAGAAAAAGAGAAGAGAGCAAAGGTTTAGATTTCACAAAAGATATGTACTAATTACTATAATCTAAATAGATAATTCAAAGCAGACCCCTCTCATTTCTTAACCTCTTTTTCTATTTGCTCACTATTAGTCCAACAAGAAAAAAAAGCCAAAGATAACAGATTGCCAAGAAGCACAATCACTAAACCCTTCTGCCCCTCACTTCCCTCTCTGTCACGAATCATCAGAAAAGGAGAGGATCGAAAGAATGAGGTTCATTCTTTCATAAGGCTCTCGGACTTCTTATTTTTACGAGTAAACACCCTTTTTAGTCCCTGACAATATCTACGAAGTCCTTTTCAGTCCCTGGAAATAAAAAAGGACCAAATTGGTCCCTGAAAGTACAAGAAAAGGGCCACTCTACATATTTGGGAGTTGACATAAGGACTAACATGGCCTTTTTTTTGTAATTTCAGGGACCAATTTGGTCCTTTTTTATTGCCAGAGACTAAAAAGGACTTCGTAAATATTGACAGGGACTAAAAAGGGTGTTTACTCTATTTTTATTCATGGATGGAAAGATTTGTGCTAACATCTAAGCATAATAAAAGTTGAAACTGTTAGTTTCAAGTCGAGGTTTAAACTATAATTTAAGGGGAATGTTATATTTATAAACTTTTCGTTTAGAAACTCTTACAAATTATACTGTGTCTGACCGTCATACTTTAATCAATAGTGTATGACTGGTCATACTGTGTAATTTGTAAAAAAAAATTGTAAACAGATCTTTTCCTATAATTTAATGCTAATTCCATATGCTAATTGTTACCACCAGGTCTGTGCCAACAAACAAGAGCCATGTAGCTAAAAGAATTTGAACTAAGAGAAACCATGTAGCTCTATTGGTGGTCACTGATACTTCCAACACTGTGATGTAATCTTAAATAAACCTGAGAATATAAAGAAACTCTATAAACTCTCTGCGGTGGGAGAAAACTACTTCATATTAATGGAGAGAAAAAATGAAGGTTTTTTGCATTATACTTATATTAAAAAAATTCTTCAAATTTTGAGGGGGGCGGCCGCCTACCTTAGCACCCCCCTCGGTCCGCCCCTGAGTACAACGGACCAACGAGAATAAATTACATCAGCTTATATGTTTCTAAAAAGAGAAAAAAAAATATTATAATTATATTTTTTTTCGAAGGGAGGAGTTATATTTATAACCCAAATAATTTACAAACTCTTACAATCTTATCTTAACTGTTGATTTCCGTCAATTAATGATTGTCATTTATTGTGATTAATTAATAAATTTGAATTGCGAAAATCTTAACCGTTGATAGACGAAAATCAACGGTTAAAATATGATTGTAAAAAATTATAAACAAAAATAGATCATAAATATAACCTTCCCTTTTTTCGAATATATAATTCATATTTATATTTTAAGTTACCGTTACACTGACGGGTGTACTAAAGATTTGTTCGAGATGAACCCCTCTTGTTAGTTTGTTTTCCGCTTAACCAATACGTTGTCAATACACGGCATTCCATGAATTCCCTACACAAAATCAATCTATATATTATGTACGTACATAGTATAAAAATTGTTTTATTATTATTTGTCGCATGATAATTTTTTATTTTAATTACTTTATTACCAATTTTTTGGTAGATACTTTATTACCAATTTAATGTTTATGAAAAGATACCATAAGGGAATATATTTTTTATCTAATGTTTCTAACTAAATATTGTTTTTGAAACATTTTGACTATAAATTTTTTTAAATTTCAAAATAAAATTTTTTGATCGTGTGCTACATAATTATTTATTAAAGAAATTCAGAATCATATATATATTTAACTTAAACAACTCCTGCAATACACTAGGCTAGGATAACTAGTTATCACCTATTTAATCAATGGCACAGAAAAGTATGCAGGGATATTATATTGTGAATCCTCACTATACATATATTGTGTATTATAGGAATATTAATTTAAATAAAATATGAAAATATTTTTAATTATAAAAAGATATTATAATTAATTCAATTAAATTCTAAAAATATAAATTTATATAAAAAATATTCCATCACAAAATAATGTGGTCAGATTCCGAAGAACCTTGTCATGATGATATCAGAATTGTTTATCCTGTTAAAATAGTTGTAGTTTTCCTAAATAACGATAATATATAATCAGATTATCAGTGTAAATTTCTTTTACATAAATAAAAAATCAAAACTAAACTGTTTAATGACTGTGTTCCATTTGTCGGTTACATATATCCCACTAATAATATAAACTCATAATTCTTCTTTATATATATATATATATATGAAAATTGTTTTCTCATATGACATAGAATAAAACTTATTTCCTATAAACACATATAGAGAAAAGAGAAAAGAGAATATAAGAGAGAAAAAAAATATAAATGGATCTCATCTCTTTATATGTGAGTGTAAGAGAGAAGCTTTACCTTATGTTACATAAAAAAACAATTTCCATATATATATATATATATATATATATATATATATATATATATATATATATATGGAAAATGTATCATTAGTCTTCTGACTTAGCAGCCTTAATTAGTAAGGAATTTTGATTCTGAAAAGAAAAAGAGAGAGTCTAGTATCATATCCTCTATTCTAGCTATCTTTTTTGTTGCTTTTGAATGATCAAAATATCGTCTCATTATTATTCGTATCTAATATCTTATTCTATTAGTGAAAATATGTACTTGGAGCACCCTTAAAAGACATTGGATAAAAAATTGAATTCAAAAGCAAATGGCATCTGCATTTGAGGAAATATATAGTTAGATGCCCTTATATACTTTCATTGGAATTTTTTTATAGAAGAAACTCACTATATAGATAAATGAAAACATGGCCGTACTCAAATAAATAACTTCTATCAGCGCACAAAGGATAAAAAAAAATAAGAGAACGGTTGGTCTTAGTGGGGGCAATGAAACTGTTATTGCACTTAGGTGAAAAGACAGTCATACAATAATAGGGGAGCCTTTTTTTTTTTTTTTTGGGTGGAGATAATAGGGTAGCTTTTATTAGCTCTTTTGTGGTCCAATAAAGAATAGTTTCAAGTTTCAACTCTCAGGGGGTGTTTGTTTCAGGTTTTTGAAGAGGATTACTGGTAATCTTTCTTTGGTAAATGTAATTATCACGTTTGGTAGAAGGAATAAATTACGATTCCCGGATATCCAAGGATTACCGGTAATTTGATTTATAAAGAAAAGTCACTATTCAGATTACCAAAAATAATATGGTAATTCAGAATACCAATCAGAATACCAAGTAAAGGGAAAGCACAATAATAAATTTTGAGACAAAAATACCCCAATACACATAAAAATCTAGACCCAATCTATCAATTACAAAAGTAAAAATAGTTTGGGGTTATTTTTGTAAAATAACCTCATATTCCAAGTCATATTTCGTTCTAAACTAAATATGGAATCAGTAATTTTTACCCAATATTCCCGGTAATATTTTGGCGAACCAAACACCTCTTTCGTAAGATTCCAAGTAAACTCAATTTCTACTGAATTCCCATTAATCATGATTCCCGGTAATCAAAAAATTTCTCGTATACCAAACACACCCTTACAACATGCCTCAACTTTAAAAAGTGCTTATAAAAATGTCTATGCAATATCGCAATAGATAGTTATTTTCTCTTTCATGCATTTGTTTGGCCGCGGTGTGGAATCTTGTAAAAAGTGGCAAGGTTTAAAAAAAGTAATGTTAATTTATTAAGTATAGGTAATAACTAAGGGTGTCAAAACGAGTTGACACGACACGAATACATCAATACTAACACGATATGAATTTTTATTCGTGTCAAAATCTTTAACACTGACACGACACGGATTTTTTGCGGAGTAACTCAACACGACACGAATAACAAGCAAAATAGGGGTTAAAACAGTAATTGACAAAAAAATTAAAAAAATGGTTCAAAATTAAAAATAATAAAAAATAATAAAAATAAATTAATAAAAATAAAATATGGGTCGACACAAACACGAATACCTCAACACGAACACGACACAAATTTTTTACGTATCATTTTTCCTAACACGAACACGACACGAATTATTTTACGGGTCAACCTGAACACGATTTTTCGTGTCGTGTCGCGGGTCGACCCACGTGTCATAATCTATATTGACATTCGTAGTAATAACTAATAAAGAAAATATAATTCCTATTATTGTATGAGACAATATACAAAAAAAGTGAATGGAACTATTTGTTTTTTTCTCTCTCTTTTTTTTAGTGAATTCTACCTATTCTTTTATGTGTACGCATGAGGTATCTCATTCCTGTTAATAAATTGCATGTATGGTGTTTCAAATTTTAAAAAATTAATTAAAAACTTTTTATCCCAAGTGAAAAGGTAGTTTAATTGCACTGGTCTTCACACGGCATGAGAATATTTTATACTCAATCGGCATGTTCCATTCCTACCTTAACATATGTCATACAGATAAATTTTGTTTATATATATATATATATATATATATATATATATATATATATATAGGAATTTATTATTCTTATGTTGCATAAAATATAATCTATCTCCTACACATAAATTCAAGATGGGTCCCACTTTACTTTTTCTCTCTCTTTTCCTAAAAATGGACCCCACCTATACTAATGAGTGTGTAGAAGATAACTCTTATCTTCTACAACATAAGAAAACTATTACCCATATATATATGGCTTAGAAATCTATTATATTTCTAAAACTTTTTATCCCAAGTGAAAGGTAATTTTTATTGCACAGGATATGTCACATCACACGGCATGAGAATATTTTATACGCGGCATGTCCCAGTCGTAGTTTCATACCTCGTATGTCATAAAGATAAACATTGGTTCATTTTGCTTTTATGTATTTCTAAATCATTATTTCATGTATTAAAAGACACAAATCTTTTATTTTTTATGGTAATATAAATATTCCAATTTATTTTTGTCCTGGATTTTTTTTTCCTTATGCTTCAATTTTATGTAGTCAATTTGTTAGATCAGATTTTTTGAATGGTTGGCTCTGCTGCTAAATATCCCTTTAAATTAGGCTGATTTTCACGGTATACCAATTTAAAGGCACTGAAAACGCCTACTCATTCCCTCTGTCACCACTCACCACTCACTAATAATATTTTCCACATAAAACAATGCGAACTAGGGGGGGGGGGGGGGATTACAAATCTCTTTCAGTAATGAATTCTTTTGATCACGGTTAATGTAGTTTGGTTGATATTAAATATTGTTCCTTATAATAATCACCGATGATATGGTTTAATTTTGATTGAATGATTATGTTATAGCAGAGCTTAATTTCTCAAACAAATATTATAGTCAAATCTTTTTAATACCGTAATAATTTATAATTTGATAATATTGGAAATCTTTTGTACACTATTAATAATTCAAAATTATATTATTGATCGTGTCCCGAATTGGTCAAATCTAATTATGAGAATCTATTAATTCTTAACTACATATTTTTTACATTAAAGTTTGTTATTGTTATATAAGCTAATTTAGCAACAACAAAAAAAATATTAGTTTAATAGCTTACTTTATTCCTTGAAGGTATGTCCTAAAAAACAAACGTCAGAAGCTTTAAAAATTGGGATGCTATGAGCTCGAGTGCATATAACACCACCCTTTGAGTTGTTTAATATAACATAGCGTTTACCATTTTTTTTATTTAAGGTATGTTGTATTTAAAAAAAAAAACACGTTGTAGGTAGATGGTTAGTTTTATTTTATATTTGTATCATTAAGTAAAATTTACATAAATTCAAAAGAGGCAACAAAATATTAGTTTAACTGAAATATTTAATAAAAAATATTTTTGAAAGAATAAATCTGTTTATTACGAAATTGTGATGATAGATAATTAGGAATACAAAAGACATTTTTAACGACATATTTTATTCTTGGTTTTTAAATTTTAAATTTAGTATTTACATTTAAATATTTTTCTTTTATTTTATATATGTTTATTTTGAATTTAAAAATACTCACATAAGATTCGTTAATTAATGTATATTGTCTAGTGTAGCAGTGAAAATACCATTAACCTTTTCAATAGAACGAAGGGAGAAAGCAAAGATGAAAAAATAATTTCTGTTCGTAGAAATCTAAATTAAGAAACCAAATATTATTTCATTAAGAAAAAGTACAAAAAATTCGAAATAAAAATGGTCCGTTACATGAAGCGAAAGGAAAGGAAAGGAGTGGTAACTGGAATTTTGTCCCTAAACGCATTTCCTTTTTCATGACAAACAGCCAAAAAAAAAAAAAAATTATACTTTCTATTATCTGATTGGGTTTCAAAGAAAATAGTAAAGGAAAAAATAACAAGCATGGGACCCATATGCATATAATAAGGTTTTTTTCTGAACAGAGGATCCAGCTCGGAGGTCACGCTGGGACACGCCACCACCGAATCAGAGCCCTTCTCGCTGGACATATTCGAACATGTGGGGTCTACTAAGAACCTTCTTTAAATATTTTAATGTAAACCACCAATGATCATTGATAAACAGCGTGGTACACGAGCGTTTTTCTGCACGTGAGGTACGTTAACATTTCTCTCTCGTAAAACTGAGTATAGTTCTCTTTCTCTAACCCTTTGTTATAATACGTGACAACCACCACACTCTTTTCTACGCCGCTCCCTCTCTTTCTTTCTTTTTTTCTTTCTCTTTCTTCATTTTCCCTCTGCATTATCTCTCCGTTTTCTCAGCAACCAAACAGCCCAGCGGCGAATAACACTAATCTCGGGATTCTCCTTGGCGCTGATTCCCTAGCCTACCCATTTATCCCAAGGCCACAAAATCGCTTCAAAGTAGTACCTTGGTGAAGACAAACCAAAAAAAAGAAAGAAAAAAAATGAAGTCTTTGCTCCTCTGCTTCACTCTCTGCATCTTCGCCATTGCCGGGGCGGATCTAGCTTCCGACAGAGCCGGCCTGGTGGCCCTCCGTGCCGGCGTTGGTGGCCGCACTCTCATGTGGAACCTCTCTCAGGCGAGCCCGTGCTTGTGGACCGGTGTGACCTGCAACAACGAGAGGGTCACGATGTTGCATCTTCCCGGAGTGGGTCTCTCCGGGAACCTTCCGATGGGTTTGGGGAACCTGACCCAACTTCAGACCCTTTCTCTCCGGTTCAACGCTCTAACCGGACCCATTCCACCCGATTTCTCCAACCTCTCTGTCCTGCGGAACCTCTATCTGCAGGGTAACTTTTTCTCCGGCGAAATTCCCGATTTGGTGTTCGGTTGGCAGAACTTGGTAAGGTTGAATTTGGGTGGCAACAATTTCAGCGGAGAGATCTCTCCCAAATTCAATGGGCTCACTCGTTTGGATACACTGTATTTGGAGCACAACGGGTTCACTGGGTCCATCCCTGACCTCAGTGTTCCTCCCCTTGTGCAATTCAATGTCTCGGACAATAAGCTAAGTGGGTCCATTCCTGAGAGGTTTTCGAGTTTGGACCAAAGTGCTTTTATTGGGAATTCCCTCTGCGGGAAGCCCTTGCTAGCTTGCCCTGGAACAACGGGGAAGAACAACAAGTTGTCTCGTGGAGCCATTGCGGGTATCGTCATTGGTTCTTTGATTGGTGTGTTGTTGATTCTGCTCCTTTTATTCTTTTTGTGTAGAAAAAGGAGCGGGAAAAGTGATTCGTTGGATGTTGCACCTGCTAAGCATGATGCTCTTCAGAAGACTGATAGGGATAGTGAGAGTATTAGTGCGAGTAATTTGGCTTTAGCATCAGCAGGGGAAAGGAGTGATGTTAAGAGTGGTGGTGGTGGAGATAAGGGTTTAGTGTTTTTTGAGAATGTGAATAAACAGTATAATTTGGAGGAGTTGTTTAGGGCTTCTGCTGAAGTGCTGGGTAAGGGGACATTTGGAACCACTTATAAGGCTAACATGGAAACGGGGTTTAGTGTGGCTGTGAAGAGGTTGAAAGATGTTGTCTCAACGGAAAAGGAATTCCGAGAGAAAATTGAGGAAGTGGGGAAGATGGTTCATGAGAACTTGGTCCCACTCAGAGGTTATTATTTTAGCAGGGATGAAAAGCTCATTGTTTATGATTACATGCCCATGGGAAGCTTATCTGCACTCTTACATGGTAAGTAGGCATCTTTTTTGCTTGGTTGTTTTTTTTTGGACAATAGGATCCCTCTCTTTTCTGTGTGTCATGATGCTACTTCTTTTGTTTATTATAAATCAAATGAATGATTGCGGCTGTTCTTATTCATTTTTGTAATCTACTGTCGTGGCTATTCCACTAACCTTCTTGTCTCAATATGGATTCATTTCATCACTTCTTGTGCCTATCTGATTTCAGTTTGTTTTTCTGAGTAAAAAGCTTGCTTTTAGTGACAAAATTTATATAATATTTGTAGTACATTTTTTCCATGGGAGATGAAATCTTGCATCAAGAGTTTAATTTGATGACATATAAAGCATTATCTGAGAAATCTGTAGTTTGTGCCTCTTAGCTGATCCTCTGTGTTTTAAAATTTGGTATCATTAAGTATTTCCTTTCAGGATTGTACTTAATGTTCTAACATTCAAATATTTTCTAAATTAATGTTGACAGCATAAGGCTCTAGGATTTAGTGATTGCATGTTAAATATTTCTATTAGAGTATCATTCTAGCTCCAGCTCAGGCTTTTGCTTCGCACATTAAGCACGCATGTGAATAATTCTAATTAGCTAGTAATATTTCAATTATGGATTTAGTATAAGGCTCTAGGATTTAGTGATTGCATGTTAAATATTTCTATTACAGAGTATCATTCTAGCTCAAGCTCAGGCTTTTGCTGCCCACATTAAGCACGCACGTGAATAATTCTAATTAGCTAGTAATATTTCAATTATGGATTTAGTATAAGGATCCAGATTTGATGAAATGCTGCCTGCAAAGAACAATATTTCTGTTTTCTTGAGCAAGTTTTAGGTGAATGAAACTGCAATTGATTTAGAACTGGGATGCCAAAAAATGGATTGTAATTTGGGTTCTAGACAGTCAAACACCTTACTTGACAATGTTTGCTTATATATCTTTCTATTTTCTTGTTATAGCAAATAATGGAGCTGGCAGGACTCCACTGAGTTGGGAAACAAGGTCTGCCATTGCCCTTGGTGCTGCACGTGGGATTGCATACCTACATTCACATGGCCAAACAACCTCTCATGGAAATATCAAGTCATCAAACATCCTTCTCACCAAATCTTATGAACCTCGTGTCTCTGACTTTGGCCTTGCTCATCTTGCTCTCCCAACCTCTACACCAAACCGTGTTTCAGGTTACCGTGCCCCAGAGGTCACTGATGCCCGCAAAGTTTCCCAAAAAGCAGATGTCTATAGCTTTGGTATAATGCTTTTGGAGCTCCTAACAGGGAAGGCTCCTACTCATTCTTCACTGAATGAAGAAGGGGTAGACCTACCAAGATGGGTCCAATCTGTGGTTCAAGACGAGTGGAATACTGAAGTTTTTGACATGGAGCTTCTAAGGTACCAGAATGTTGAGGAGGAAATGGTGAAGCTCTTGCAGCTTGCTCTTGATTGTACTGCTCAATATCCTGACAAGAGACCTTCAATGGATGTGGTGGCAAGCAGGATTCAGGAAATTTGTCATCCTATTTTAGAGGAAGAGGAGGAGAAGAATCATGGTTCGTTTAAAGAAGCAGATAATGGAGTTTCCCAACAGTACTATTCTGTTGATTCGGGTGCATCACAAGCTTGAATATAGAATTCAGAAGAGAAGAGACCTCATTGTTTTCAACTTTGACCTGTTTTTGGCATGCATATTATACTGTGCTTTGTTTATTCATTGAGGGATTATAGAAACCGTTTGTGATCCTTTGTCTTTTCTCTCTCCCTCTTGTTATTCCAAGGAGTCTTGGTTGGGGTTTTCTATTCCCCGGTTTATTTATTCATACTCTACATTCACCAAAGACATTTATTTATTTTTATTTTTACAGGATTTTGTGTGAAATGTGAATAATTTGTTTGGATTTCTTCATTCATGTTTCTCCCTCCTATTTCTAGTAGGTTCAGCTTGTATTGTAATTTGTGTGTACTGAAACAAGTTCTTCTTGAAGTCCAGCCTATGTTTGTCAACAACTGAACTAGAGGTTCTTAATCATCTCCTTTTAACATCGAATTCTAATAAGTCAAATGGCTTCTAATTAGACTTTTCTTCAAAGAGCCTAAAGCAAAACTTTCATCGAAATTGATGAAAACAATTTTAGCGAGCCATACATGATAAGGTATTTTTTTTTTAACTATTTTTTGCGATAATCGAATGTTACAATAATCTTAAGGTAGCATCCTTTACAAAGTGAGTTATATTCGAGAGAGAAAAAAAAAAAAAAAAAACTTTTTTCAAGTGATAAGGTTGCAACTGGAACACTTGGGTTTATATAACTTTATTGTTTATTTTGTGTTTTTAATAAAGAAAAATGATAGAGCAGCCTTTACATTGGTGCTGCATTGGCTCTGTTCTACTCTTGGGCAACATCTTCGTGTCTTCAAATTCCAAGATACTAAAGAAAATTCTATAATATGAACACCTGGTTTCAAACCAAGATAGAGATGCCGAAAATTTTCTGCAACGTGCTTCCCTTTTAAGGCTTTTATTCTTGTTCTGGGAAATTGACACATATTTTCTGTTGCACATCTTTTTGAGTGACATGGAGAGCATTCATTCTTTTGAATAATTAGAACTGTTAAAATTAGTATATTTAATTGTATATGTAAATGTTTATTACGCTACTTTTGCTTTTTGATACAACTTCGGTTTGTTGAAACTTAGTTGTAAAGAATTATGCTTTCTAAGTTCTAACCGGTAATCTAAAATTATGGCCATCCGTGAGAAAAGAAGAAAAAGACAGACAAAAAGTGAAATCTTGCTTACTTTCGCTTCTGATGCAATTTTGATTTGTTGAAACTGAGTTGTTTCAATTAGTTTGGGAAGTGATGATATGTGTTAAAGTCATATCAAATATTTCATCACATGCTTCTGGATATGCTATTTCAGGATCATGCACACTTGTGATGAGTCCGACATTGGTTGGTAATGAGCTAAGTGAAGAGTATATAAGTGAAAGGACCCATGAACCTAATACCTTAAGGTTTTGAGTTGAGACATGATGTCAGATACACTTGGTTGGTGTAGCCTTAGCTCATTGGTGGTGGCTCCCCGTCACGGGCTTCCCCTGGACCCGCTTGACATTGGAGTTTGAGGGAACGAATTTCCCATCATAGATATGGTAAAACCTTGAATGACTATAAAAAAAATAAAAATAAAGGTTGGTATATGACAGTGATCCACTAGTTGAACCGATAACCTAGTACCTCTACCAGTCAATGACCGGCCGGTTTCAATAACATTGCTAATAACTAATCACTCTTAAATTTCAGTCCTAACTAATCACTCTTAAATTCCACGTTCTATCTCCACCACTACAATAGGATCCACCTCAGCCGATGCCTCCTCCGCCGGTGCCACTCCAATTCCGATGCACCGCTGCAGTAATGACCTAAGTATGGGCTCGATTAGGCGAGCCAACATAGCCGCCATCACTACAACGACGGGAATCACCAAGGGGCTCGTGGTGTTACGTTCCGGGTAATGGTTGTGGGTGTGGCTAATAATGGTTATGCCTCCGCCACTAACGTTTGGTGCTGATGCCATTGATGCTGCTATCCCCTCGTCTTCTTCGTCTTCTATTCAATTATTCTGAAGATGCCTTTTATAAAGGAAAAGGTTTGTCCCACTTCTCCAGTCCGTTGTCGAAATTCCTGTTTAATGAAAAAAAACACAAGATATGGAATAACATTTCTTTCTTCTTTTTTTGTAGTTTTTGTGAATCTGGGTGTGTCCTAGATCCATTGATCAATTTTGACAATTAGCTTTCACAGCTTTGGTGGAAGTAAAGAGGCAACAAATTGTGGTCGTGGGCACCCTATGCTAAGCTTTTGTGGATATATTTGAAGTTCAAGGAGGTTTCCTAAACCGGGAAAAATTAAGGGATCTGCCCAGATGAGCAATTTCCGGTTGATCACAATATTGTGGAATTGTAAATTTTTTTTTTTGAAGAGTGTTTGTATTTTGAAATGAAATAAAGTACAATAGTGAATCATGATGCAAACCCAGGTTTCAGCAATAATAATTACTATAGGGTGGTGTTTGGTCGGGGGTTTTGTTGAAGAAACTCAGGCAACTTTTACGTGGATTTCCACTTGACCATGTTTGGTTCAAGAGGTTTTGATCAAAACTCATCTGTGAAATGCTTGGCTTTTTGAGAAAAATAGTAATTTGCACTGTTTAGAAACCCGATTTGAAGGTGGTTTTTTGAGAAAATCCGGATAAAGCACTGTTGACACACTTTTTGTCATATATTTTCCTGGTAAAATTTTGTCAAACCAAACTACTTTTTTTTAACTTCCCCATCTATTCAACTTTCACTACGGATACCTAATAATTACATTTCTCTAGTATTCTTAAAATTTATCTTCAACCAAACGCCCCCTGGATGTCATGTGGCTAATGGCTATTAAGTTGTGATTGAGACTGTCTATCGAAAAAAACAAAAAAGTTGTGACTGAGACTCGTGTTTAGTTGTCTAGTTAGTTTTTAAATTTCAGAGGTATTACAATTTCAAAAAATTCAAATTTTAGAGAAATTACAAGTTAATTTTAGAAAAATAATAATTTCATTTAATTACGTGAGAGGACCAAGCGTTACTGAGTGTTGTGACCCTTTCCTCGCATCACTCACACATTTTTTTTTATTAAGTGACGCCCCTTCCCCTGCGAAACAATTCTACAAGGGTGTGCATGACAACCATTCTATTCCTTAACAATGTTTCTGAAAAGTAACAATTATTTTCTATTTCTGTTCCTTGGAACAGTTTTTGAGAAAAAAATGTGTTTGATAACATATTCTATTTTTATTCCGAGAATGAGAATTGTGTTTGATAACACAACAAATAATATAATAAAAAATAATTCCTATTAAAATATAAAAAATTTGGAACATCACTTTCCTTTCCATATGGTGTGGTTGTGGTGGTGGTCGCGGCGGGGGTGGCATGGTGGTGGTGGCGGCGGCGGTACGGCAGTAGTGGTGGCAGTGATGTGGTGATGATAGTGGTGCTGGTTGTGATGACAGTGACTACGACGATGGCAGTGGAAGTGGTGACGGCAGTGGCTGCGACAACGGTGGTTGGTGGCATTGGTGGCGGCGACAATGGTAGCGATGGCATGGTGGTGGTGGTTGTGATGGCATCATGGAGATGGTAGTGGTGGTGGCAGTGCTGCAGGTGGTGGTAGGTGACAATGGTGGTGGTGGTGGTGACAGTGGTGGTGGTGGTGGTGGTGACAGTAGTGGCTGTGACGATGGAGGTGGTGGCTGCAGAAATGATAGTGTTGGTGATGGTAGCGGTGGCGGTAGTGGTGGTGGAGGTGACAGCAGTGGCTGCAACAATGGTGGTTGTGACATTGGTGGCGGCGGCAATGGTAGCGAAGGCATGGTGGTTGTGGTGGAGGTGATAGTAGTGGCTGCGACAATGGTGGTTGTGACATTGGTGGTGGCGACAATGGTAGCGGTGGCTGATAACTCATATTTTTTTTTTTTTGATAACATGATAAGTCATATTTTATTGCACTTATTTGTTACTCTTGATTAGTATTTTTAGGATTTATTTGAATAAAATAATGATGTTTTGAGTTAATTTACATTTTTAGTTTTTGATTGGGTTTAATTTATTTTTGTCTGAATTTTTCAACTTTACGTTACTTCTGTATTTTGGCCATATCTTGGTCCACAGTTGTTGGATTGACTTCGTTCTTATTGGGTTTTTCAGATAACACAGAGGGCTACAATTCTTATGCAGAGCTCGAAGCCCAATTCGGACTTGAAGATGGTCGAATTTTTGCGCCAAGTCGGACACATTTTGCTGAAGTTTTAGACATGTAATTTAAATTAAAACCCAATTACATAAGTGGCCCAAAGCTAAGTTTTATTTTATTTTATTTCGTATTTTAGACAGATGGGCCGATCAGAACTGAGCCCTAACCCGATTTGGGTAGGGGTATATGACGGCAAAGTAGGAAACTATCATTCATTCTGAATTTTCCTATTTTGGGATCAAAGCACATTCTCTGGAGCGTTCTTCGCGTTCTTCATCTTTTTCTTCTTCTTTTATTTTATTTTATTTTAATCATGTTTACCTTAGCCATGCGAGGCTAAGAACCTTTTAATCAACCTAAGGGTAACGGATTCCATGGATTAGTCTTGAGGGTCTGCGCTTTATTTTAAGTCAGTTTCGTTTCCCTTCCCAACTCAGATTGATATCGTGCGATCGTGGATATTCAATCTGAGGTTCGCGATTGCGATTATGGAAAGGGATTAATCATCAGATTTGTTGGTTATATTATTTGACCCTATGAACTTAAATCAAACGGGCTGATACTCTGCGATTGTATGAGTAGAAACACCGTATTTGATCAAATTCTAAGCGATCGCTTAGAGAGGGTTGTCAATTGAAAATAAGAATTCTGATTCAATTGACGATCAATCACGATTCTGATATCTTTTTATCCGAGGAAAAACGTCCATGGAACCCTAACCTTAGGTTGGTTAATTTTTAATTACGAATTTTTATTCCAAATTTATATTCTGCCTTCTTAATTATTCAATCAAAATCCAAAACCCCCATTTTAATTTTCTGTCATCATAAGCGATTTTTAGCAAAACAATTTCCTTGAGAGACGACTTAGGGTTTTCACTTTACTACAAATTTTCTGAACCCTAATAAAAAAATAATTTTTAATTTGCGCGAGTTCAACAGCTCGTGTCAAATTTGGCGCCGTTGCCGGGGAAATTGCATCGGTCTAAATCGTTTTCTGAATTTGATCATCTTCTTCTTCTTCTTTAATTTTCGTTTCTGTTTCATAAAAAAAAACCA